GTAGCCGATTCAATGACTCCAACCTCGAAAACGATGTTCAAATAATTATCTTTTGCCACGAAAATATTAGTTAAAGCATAGAGAAAAGTGGTAAAAAAATTGCCTCAGATCGCACCACAGAGCATCTAGAATCCGATTATTTTTTCGGGCCTTCAAGCGGGCCCCGAACCCCACGCCGTAAGGGCTTCGCATCAAGGTATGTCCCCCCCCCCCCCCCCCACACACACACTTTTGAGAAGCGATTGACGCCACTGATTTATCCTGACAGTTCCTGTTCACTTTTATCATTTTTAATCAATATCCAAAAAAAGGAGACACAAAATAAATGAATAATACATTTCCAACCAACCTGTTGAGGACTGTGCAGAAGTGGTGGCACACAACATCAAAGTGATGGTAACCAGCAGAGAGAACGATGAACAAGTCCAACCCATCATGAGAAACTCAGTCGTCAATAATCACTAAAAGTAAAAGATTCGTTTACTTTCAATACGACATTCATTAATAGATCAAATTGGTTGGGGGTACCAATGAATTGTAAATTAATCTGATACGCATTTAGTGGGAGTCCATTTAAGTTTTAACTTGTAGCTGAGATTTTTAGTGTTCTGAAACTGTTTTTATCAGATCGGAAATCATGTGAGAGAGTTGAATTTGACTTATAAAGGTGGAAACATATACTTGACCGTTAATCGTTATTGGCCGTTTTCAACCCTAAAACAGAGATACGAATCCGCTTTGTTGTGGTCTTTTTTTTAACAGAATGTATCCATGCAGTAGGAGGGAAGCGTCTTTTAGACCCTGTAGGCCCACGGTTAAAGTTGTAATAATTAAAACAAAAGACATCGTGTCACGAGGAGAACTACAGTTAATGTAGATTGTTTTGGGGACGTCTCTATTAGTCCGACGTCCCGTCGGTCCGACGTCCCATCGGTCCGACGTCCCATTGGATTAGGGTTAGGGTTTATAGGGACCCCGGTTTGGAACCTCAACCAATTTCCATTCCTGTGAGCCCGAACCTATACTCAGTGTCGGCAAGGATCCAGTGGACCTATACTCGCCAGCCGGTGACTGATAGATCCGGTCCACCTCTGACCCAATAGTGCGTCCGGGACGACAGCCCAGACATCACAACCATCTTGGGGGGATTGTATCTTAAACATAAAACCAAACTTTAGTATTTTTTGTTTCCTTGAATTAGTTTATTGAGAAGTGAGCAGTTCATTTTTCGTTGGGTTATATTGCTTTCTATAATCAGTTTGTTATTATTTCAAGACTGTAATTATATTATTTATTTGGTTGTTACGTTTGATTTCCCTTAGGCATTTGTTGGAAATCTCAGTTGAGAAGCTACCAATTGTTTTGCTGAATTTTAGTTTTTGTTTACTTGCAGTTGCAAAGTTTGCATTTTCGTATGCATTGTTGATTAACTTGTTTATTAATTTGCTGCTTAAGAGTCTTTTCTTGTAAATACTTCATATAAGTGTCCACGCTAAAAAAAAAATGTTATACTTTGTGGAATGAAAGGACTTGGGGAGCAAGTAACCAAAATAGACTTTTTAAACATATTTGCTCATTGCCATGGTAACGGGCCCTTATGTGTTTTGGCCTTTCTGTGACAATTTTGAGGCTGCGAAAATTCATATTTGGAGGGTTATTTTCAAAGGTCATCAATCCAAACTGCGAAGTAAAGTCACAAAAGTATCTCACGACAAAGTATCATCCTTACCCTTACAAAACATAAATAGAAACACTTTTGAATAATCACCTTTATCTTACTTTTAGGCCCTACAATACAGCATGTTTCTACAACTAGCAAAATTGCATTTTTACCCCATTTTTAACCCTCCAAAGTGGCACTTGCCAGGGCACTCAAAACAATTTCCTTTCGACTATGATTAGTTCAGACATTGGTCTTTTCATATCTGGCGAGAACACTTTGCGTTATTGTATATCCTTTGTGCAGTAGCGCTCCAAAATGGTAAATTTCACAAAAACCGTAAAAAGTGTATTTTCAGTGTTTTCCTTTGTTTTGAGTACTAACTTGTATAATTGGTATTGTTCATGAATCTAGCACAGTTTCTGAAACAGAATCACATTGTGTATCATTTTTAGACTAGTGGATGAGTAGTAGGTCGTGTAGTCCCCCCACACCTGGCTAGGCCCCGCCCACCCCCACCCCCTTTGCCACCGAATTTAGAACTTGTATGTTGCATAACGAAACAAATGTAAATAAATAATATGCAATTGAACACTTTAGAAATTACATAGACTTCCTTTTCACAGCCTCCCCTTCCCCCACCCTGGGGCATTGCTTGGGGTTGAGGGTCAGGTGTGACCACCCACCAATAACTTGGCTTTGTCGGTAAAATCATTGCCACATGGGCAAAACTCATGTGTTTGCAAGCCGCAATGAATAATAATGGCCATGATATCCATTGTCCTCTGATTGAAATGCATCCATTAGTTAAAAAAAAAATGATGTCTAGTCCTCCCCTCCTAGCTACGCCCCGCCCATTCCCTTGCCATCAAATTCAGATTTTGATTGCTAATTGTATTTGCCTACATTAAAATTGTAAATAGATATCAATTTGCAAGTGAACCTTTCATAACTTACACTAAAAGCCGTACCGGTCTCACAGCCCACCCCCTGCCACCCCTCTTCCTACTCCAGTGCTCATTATAAGCAACGACTCCTCCCCCTCCCAAAGAATTCAACATGTATTATTGTGAAGGTTACATATTGCCTTAATTGCGGAAAGTCCACATATTTGTATGCACTATGTAGGTTTGGCTATTTTTTTTGTCGTTGTGGGAGTGGTTTGGAATATCTGGAAAGCGCAAGGGGTGTAATATCGACACATGTACATGGTGCATAGTGCTTTTTTTTAAACAAAATTATTATTATTAATTTTTTTTAATACAGAGAAATTATATGGCGATTTAGAGAGCAAATAACTCATATCTGTATATCAAAATACATGTACTTTAAAACAACTATCGCGCTAACGAAAACTCAAGACGGCTTCAATCTGTTTTGATTGATTGAATTGTCTTGGCCCTACGTGTAGTTATGGTCAGATCGAGTGCATATAAAGTCGAATATACTACCGTTGTGGGTGCTGCTATGCCCTCCAAAATTGTAATTTCGTAACCAGCATGACATTTGAGTCTTTTCCAAACTCATCAGTAGTCATCAGTAGTCAACATGCAGGCCACACTTCTGTGGTGCATCCATTGTTGCATGGCACGCAATGTATGAGTGCTTATAAATTACATTTTTTTGGGGGGGGGGGGGTATACAAACAGGGAATGTTTTGTTAATGTGTTAATTAAAAAAAAAATCAACTTCCCCACCTAACGAAGTGCTTACAGATTTGAACCCTTTCTGGCGGGTATTTGTTTGTTTTTTCTAAAAGGGAGGGGTACAGCACACTGTGATCCCATGTTGATTTGCATATATGCTTTGACCGATTTTCCTACAACTGATTTGGCAGGAAAATATTGGTTGACCACTACTCTATAATATGACATTCTTGGTTCTATTGCTGTTAACGCTAGATATTTTATATATATACATTTGTATTTTTCCAAACTCTTTGGGGCATAATTTCTGTATTTTATGTGTAAACATTCATCCCAGTCAGGTAATTGTATGCATCCATTGTCACTGCCATGGCGACTATATACTTACTGATTTGTTTTGTTGTAAAATGTGTGGGTTTTCAACCCGAATTGGCAAAACTAAGGTAAATATACATAATTTTGGTGATGTTATTTAATGCTCTGCAATTGATTCATGTAATAATCAGAGAAGTACATCAAAACAAACAAAATGCAGATTGAAAGGTGAAAACTACATGTGCTTCTCGCACCGATGCTGGCCACGTTAAATACTGAGCATGTATTGTTGTTACTTATATAGCCACGAATTTCAGTCTAAAGATAATACTTTTGTGATAGGTTTTGAAAATGGAAGTATTATTGCTTTTAGTTTAAAAAAACAATTATGAACCTTTCATAACTTACACTTAAAGCCGTACCCTTTTCACAGCCCCTGCAGCCCCTGCCACCCCTCTTCCTACTCCAGTGCTCATTATGAGCAACGACCCCTCCCCCTCCCAAAGAATTCAGCATGTATTTTACATATTGCCTTAATTGCGGAAAGTCCACATATTTATATGCACTATGTAGGTTTGGCTATTCTTTTGTCATTGTGGGAGTGGTTTGGAATATCTGGAAAGCGCAGGGGGAGGGGGGGTGTAATATGGATACATGTATACATGGTACATAATAATTTTTGCCCTAAAGATAATTCCTCCGTGATAGGTTTTGAAAATGGAAGTATTTTGCTTTTAGTTTATGAGCACCGATGTCTTTACATCGGTTGCCATGGTAATTATGAACACACTACAAAAGTGTGTTTGGTACCATGGTGACCACTGTAACAAGTTTGGAAAAGTCACAAAATTTCATGTTGATCAGCTCACTGTAAAACGCAAGAACATGTGACACGTTTAAAAAATAAACGCAGTGTTTTAGATTTAAACACTATGTGACAAAATTAAACACATCATGTGTTTTTAAACAAAACAGTTAGCGTTTAATGTCAACAGTGCTATAGGGTGTTTATTATCGGTTTTAGAAAATATTTTAACTGTTCAATTTCACTAGTTAGCATTTTGTTTATTCCCAAAGAATAACACTTTGTTTAAAAAAAGGCTTATTAACTAATTAGGACACTAATAATAACTCAAGTTGTTAATTTAGCTGTTTGTGTTCAACACCTAATAAACACGGTACACGTCACGATGTTTAAAATGACCACGTGATGTTAGGTCTTAACCAATAGGATTAAATCCGATTGCGTGCTGGCATAATCGGGGCAGTTATTACGCGGCACAAAGCCAACCGCCATTTTTCTGACAATAATCTGGGCACACTAATATAATAATGTAATGGCGAGAATTAGTATCGTCATTCGTGCATGGTAACAAAATTTGCATCGGGTAATGAAACAATATACATGTATGATGTAGTCTCACAGAAGGTACTAACAGTTGGTCATGACCTAGGCTAGAGGTCAAGTTTGGTATGCATATTGCCAAGTCAGCAAGAGTACTCAGATGCAACGTATTCTGTGCATGCAGTACGACGGTTGTAGTTTGAACCAGTTCTGGAAGCTTCCACACAGGTGGTAAGTTTTGTCTTTTGTGTTGTTTGATTTAATTAATCCCGATATACAATATGATAGATTTAGAAATGTGAGATGAGTTGAATTAGTGGGAGCAATTATTGGCCAAAGGATCGTGTGATAAAACATGAATATGAAGGGGAAAAAACAACCCTGATTTTGATTTCCTCATATTATTTTTCTTGGATGACGATGCTGTTATACAGTATAACTGCTGTGCAGCTCACAATATTATGAAGGAAGTTCTGTATTTGAGCCACATTATGGGGTGGTCTTTGTTGAGTGTATACTTAATATGAGGCTATAAGCCTATGGGGCGAATTACAATTGCAAACACGCAATATCAAAATGTTTGTAATCTTGGAAAATTCAGTGAAGTGGATTTTTTTTTAAATCGTGATTAACTATTCAATAAAAGCATGCTAGTGTTATCACCTCTGCCTAAGTTATGTAAGCTGAAAGGGACCAGCATATGAATGATTTTGAAAAGAAAATTCTAGTATTTGTATGGTCAGGTACAAATTGTTTAACCATAATTTCCATTTCACATGATGTTATTGGCGTATATTGTGTAATATTTTCTTTCTGTATATTTTCAGGGTGTGTCTAATCCCTTGCAGATGAAAGAAGCTATTGACTTTTAAAATAAGGTAAGTGTCTTTTGGCATTGATCGTCATTTAGCAGTGCAGTGTGTGATTGTATAGATCAGCTGTGTATAAAACTTTTGAAAAACCCGCAGTGCGTGTACACAATAAATATCCCTAAATTTTTGGGTACCATGCAGTATTTCACAGTGATTCAAAACGTTCGTTTTACAGAACATGTGTTATGTTTTGAATATAGGGTCCTCTGTAGATGCTCGATGTAACTGCATACATGTACGTCCAGCAGAACACCAAGTTTGAACGTGGCGAGGGTACGAAGACGAGGAGAGTGCTAACTATTCATGAGGTAATTTTGTATTGTAAAATATATTATTCAAATCTTCAATTTCATTGAATGATGATGTTTGGCTGAGATTCTATCTTGCATAATAACCTTTCAACTTCCACTGTAAATTTACTTTGGCGGTAAAACATCATGAAATGAAAAAGTATAACATTCTAGGTGAATACTGTAATGTGTTAACGTATTACTGTTGATGTTAAAGAGCGCCCTCTCTTGAAGTTGAATAAACGACACCGGAGAGTGTCTCGTGCAAAATGGCCGCCACGTTTAGTTGACTCTTCCTGGTGCCCGCTCCCCTAAAGATACCACAAAATTGGCGACGAGGATGGGATCCTGCGGTACCAGAGTCTTAAATAGATAAGATAAAGTTATAGATTACGATCGTTATACGATGGCGGCGATCATCGGAAAAGTGGATGAGTTTGACGAAGGAAAGGAAACATTCACGTGCTATTTGGAAAGGTTGGACCAGTTCTTCATTGCCAACGACATCAAGGATGCAAAAGCAGTGAGTGTTTTTCTTACGGTCATAGGGCCGAAATCGTACTCGCTGTTAAAGTCAATGGTATCACCAGACAAAGTGAGTGATAAATCACTGGAAGAACTGAAAACTTTGCTAAAGAATCACTACTCACCACAACCTTTGACAATCGCAGAGCGCTTCAAATTCCACAAAAGAGACCAGAAACCAGGGGAATCTGTGAATGAATATGTGGTCGAACTGAAGCGTCTGGCAACCACCTGCAAGTTTGGAAACTTCCTGAAGGATGCCTTAAGAGATCGACTAGTGTGTGGGTTGATCAACACCACATGTCAGAAGAAGCTGTTAACCGAGAAAGAGCTGTCTTTTGACAAGGCACTGCAGCTGGCGGTAGCATTTGAGATGGCAAATAAGCAAGCTCAGGAACTACATATACAACCAAGAGCCAGTCTGGAGGTGAAAAAGATGACTGCCAAGCAAGTCTTCACTCCAAAGAGGAAGCCAGCACCCACTGCAATAAGTGGTGGGCCTAAATCGGCACAGAACCAACCAGGAAGTGGGAACTGCTACCGATGCACAGGTCAACATTCGCCAAGGGAATGTCCCTTCAAAGGAGCAACATGCTATTGTTGTAATAAAGTTGGGCACATCTCCAAGGCATGCAGAAAGAAACGGTACCAGAATCAGACACCAAAGGATGGCAAGTCTTCGAAGTCGGTGAAACACGTGGCCGCAGACGCGGACAGTGATGAATCAGGCGACTTTCTGGTTTACACGATAAGTTCAGTGAGCTCACCAGCAAAGGGCATCGCTGTGACTGTTGACCTAGCAGGATCTTCAGTAGAGATGGAGCTGGATACCAGGGCAGCTGTATCCATCATATCAGATAAGACCTACCAGCAGCAGTTTTCAAGCTGGACATTGGAACCGTCGTCCGTGAAACTGAAAACTTATGGAGGAGAATCCATAGAAGTGCGGGGAAAACTCACTCTGCCAGTAACGTACGAGCGTCAGACACAGACACTGCCACTATACGTAGTGGCGGGAGACAAGCCAGCCTTATTCGGTCGGAACTGGTTGGACAAAATCAAGGTGAACTGGCCTCAGATCTTCAGAGTACAAGACACAAGCGGAGCAGCCAAGGACTCTCCTCATGTCAGTCAACCAGCCAAGGACATGGCAGGACTGAAAGAACAGTATAAAACGGTATTTAGTGAGAAGGGGGGCCCAATCACTGAGTTCAAGGCGCACATACATATGATTGATAATGCTAAACCGGTGTTTTGCAAGGCGCGTCCGGTACCGTATGCTCTGAAAGAAAAACTAGAAAAAGAGTTAAAAAGGATGCAAGATGAAGGCATCATAAGTAAGGTAGAACGCAGTGAATGGGCCTCGCCTATTGTACCAGTACCTAAGCCTGATGGTAGTTTGCGATTGTGTTGTGATTATAAGGTGTCAATCAATAAGTTGTTAGATGACACACAGTATTCCTTGCCAAACGCAGAGGACCTATTTGCGACACTAGAAGGGGGAAAGATTTTCACAAAAATCGACCTCGCACAAGCATACCTACAGCTCGAGTTGGATGCAGAGTCCAAAAAGTTCCTGGCCATAAATACTCACCTTGGGCTGTTTCAGTTCAATAGGTTACCGTTTGGGGTATCATCAGCACCCGGGATATTTCAGGGTGTGATGGATCAGATTTTGCAGGGGATTGAGGGAGTTGTCTGTTATCTAGATGATATCCTCATCTCTGCACCCTCTGAACAAAAGCATAGTGAAATACTTGATGAGGTCCTGAAGCGTTTGGAGAGGTATAATGTGCGGGTAAAAAGCCAAAAGTGTGAGTGGCATAAACCGTCAGTAGAGTACCTAGGGCATGTAGTTGATGCTGAGGGCATCCACCCAACTGTGGAGAAGTTGGAAGCGATCAAGCAGGCTCCCAGCCCCACAAACATCGCTGAGCTCCGGTCCTATTTGGGACTACTGAATTACTATGGAAAATTCATTCCAAATGTTTCAACACTGTTGCACCCTTTGAATGAGCTCTTGCGAAAAGATGTGAAGTGGAAATGGACTGCTGCCTGTGAAACCGCTTTCCAGCAAAGTAAAATCCAGCTCATGGAAAGTACTTTGTTGGTACACTATGACGTAAGTAGAGAATTACATCTTGCTTGCGACGCCTCTCCATATGGAGTAGGTGCTGTGATTTCGCATGTAATGCCAGATGGGGAAGAAAGACCCATTGCATTCGCCTCGCGTACTCTGTCACAAAGTGAGAGAAATTATGCGCAAATAGAGCGAGAAGCATTGGCGTTGATATTTGGAGTCAAGAAGTTCCACAAATACTTGATTGGACGGAAATTCATTCTGGTCACAGACCACAAGCCACTCACAGCCATTTTCAATCCGCAGGCATCCATTCCGACATTGGCCGCAGCGCGAATGCAAAGATGGGCTATCATACTGTCTGCATACACTTATGAGATTGTGTATAGGCGTTCTGTAGACCATGGAAATGCAGACGCATTATCCAGATTACCAAGACAGGTTGACCATTCTAATGTACAGGAGGTCAAGTATTTCTCATACATAGATGAGTTGCCGATTACATCAGATGATATCAGTAGAGCCACTAGAACTGACCCAGAGTTAGCCAAAGTGTATGACTTAGTAGCAAATGGTTGGCCAGGTTTTGTTCCAGATGAACAGATGAAACCATACTTCAGGCGTAGAGCTGAATTGTCAATTGATAAGGGCTGTATTTTGTGGGGGATAAGGGTAGTTATTCCAAGTAAGCATAGAGACAGATTGTTAAGTGATCTCCACAACCAACACATGGGTATGTGTAGTATGAAAAGCCTAGCACGTAGCTACTTGTGGTGGCCAGGGTTAGATAAGGACATCGAAAACCTTGTAAACGCCTGCACCACGTGCCTATCAGTCCGAAATGCTCCTCCTACGACTCCACTCAAGTCATGGGTGTAGCCTACCCGAATTTGGCAACGGGTACATATTGATTTCGCCGACCTAAAAGGTCAGCAATTGTTGATTTTGATTGATAGTCACTCAAAGTGGGTCGAAGTGTACCCCATGAAAACGATAACTACGGCAAAAACTCTGGATGTCTCGAGGAGGTTGTTTTCCTCCTATGGACTACCAGAAGAAATCGTCTCAGACAATGGGCCACAATTCACTTCAGCTGAATTCAAAGAGTGTATGGACAGGAACGGTATCAAACATACCCGAGTGGCACCATACCACCCTGCTTCAAGTGGAGCAGCAGAGCGGACTGTTCAAATTGTCAAACGAGCACTGATCAAACAAATGTTTGATCCAAACCCGAAAAAAGCAGCATCTATCAGTGCATCACAAACTAGCCAATTTTCTCATAATGTATAGAAACACACCACAGACTACTACAGGTAGAACTCCAGCAGAGTTATTCCTCAAGAGGCAACCTAGAACAAGATTTTCCCCCTTGAAACCCAACTTGGCACAAAAAGTAGAGAGTAAACAAGAAAAACAACGGGTATATCATGACCAAGGTAGAGTAAAGGAGCGAACACTCTAGGTAGATCAGAAAGTGAGGGTCAACAGTCATGAAAACAGTCTGGTCAAGTGGTTGCCTGCAAAAGTAGTCAAAGTTTGTGGACCACGTACATACATTGTTCATGTGTATAAAAATGGCAAAAACAGGTATGTGCATATTGACCACATTTTTCCCTCCCAAGAAGAAAATCAGTCAGAGTCTGTTGTACCGGTAGGGGTCCCAAGTTACACAAACGGTCCAGAATTAGTAGTAAACTTACCACAGTCACCAGAACAAGAGAAAAAGAGCGACACATGTGATAAGACCGATGTGAAAACTCCTGATAAATGTCAGGTCACTCCTCAAAATCTAGCTAGGGATTCTCAAAGTTGTCCAGTGCGGGGAACTAATGGGACAGGGACAAACTGCACGGAAAATTCTCAGAGGCGTTATCCACAAAGAAACAGAAAAGCACCCGATAGACTTGATTTGTAATTGTAAACTACATAACTGTACGCAAAACAAAAAGAAAAGAAACAGTGTTCATGGTTACATGTGATTGTATTAAAATTTATTCACAATTTTGTCAGAAATACATGTGTTTAAACAGTCAATACATGTACATGTAGTTATAAATTTAACCAAGGTCATTGGTTATTCTCCAAAAACAAGAATTTAGCAAAATTAGGATTGTGAACACATTTTGGAAGGATAAAGGGGACACATGTTAATATTTCTGCTTTTATAGGACCAATGATAAATTAGGGACACTCACATGTATCTCATTTTTGTATGGTGAAATAATTTGCTGAGGCAAATAACTCATTGCATTTTTTTTTTACTTGAAAGTTCATGGGGTCCAAAACTAAGGGGGGAGGAGTGTAATGTGTTAACGTATTACTGTTGATGTTAAAGAGCGCCCTCTCTTGAAGTTGAATAAACGACACCGGAGAGTGTCTCGTGCAAAATGGCCGCCACGTTTAGTTGACTCTTCCTAGTGCCCGCTCCCCTAAAGATACCACAAATACAATTTTTAAATTTTTAAATTTTAAATACAAAGTCTCCGTAAATACCTACATGACTGCAAAGTTATTGGTACGAAACTGTGAAAAGCTTGCCTATTTTCTTCAGATTTTATTTTTAATATTTGATCCATGATCAAGCTCAAGCTGTAACTTTACAGTCTTTGTGCACATTATCTCTGATAACAAAGGTTAATATTGACGCGAGTCCCAAAAAGGCCGACAATTGTGCAATTTACTTTTGAACCCAATTTTGTAATCAGTTTTCATATTCTTCCTGGAGTAAACTTTATTAATGACTTGTCATGTTAGGGTCTCCATTTTTTTTTTTTACTGTGAGCATGGTTTCACTTTCAAAGTTGATCAGTTTTTGTATGGCTCACTCAGAAATCTTGTTTATGTCCACAGAATTCTGCTGAACCAGACAGAGTATCTGCATCAAAACTACAGTTTACATTACATGTGGAGACACCATCAAGAAAGTCTCAAACTACAACACGTACAATGATGCGCTTCTTCTCCAGCTTCGGGGTACTATGCCTTTGATTTGGATTATCCAAAGTATTTTCACGTGCTTTGAGTTCTTTTCAAAAAATCATAATCAGAGAAAAGTTTTCCTGGCAGATTCCAGCAAATTCAGGCAGTTCACTACAAGGTATTTGTGTATAAATTAATTGGATATACTGTTGAAATCTCAGCTAAAGATCAATACTTATTTTACCACTTCAAACTACATGTATAACGCAAACCTTCATAGGTTTTAAAAAACAAGTATAATTCATTTGCAGTTTTACTTCTAACTCTCATTGAATTGGAAAATAATTGTTTTTAGCCCTATTTACAGATATATTCATTTACTTCAAATTCACCCTTTTGTGTTTGTTTATGTTTTTGTTTCTTTGTTTTGATACTTGTAAAAAATGTAATTGGCCTTAATGTTGGGGTCTTAAAAAAGGATTGTTGGAAACATACTGATAGGCATGGTAGTATATTCACATAAATGTCACATTATTTTTGCTGTCGTAATGTAAAATATTCTCTAGGGGTGACCATAAAAGTACATTTGTATTTTATTGTGTCCATTTTCATGATTCGATAGAACTCAATAGGCCTTTCACCACAATCCTATATGTGAAAATGGAGATAGCTTTGTGAAGTGCCCTTAATGCGTTTATTTCAATGTTGTTAATATTGTGACTGAAGTTTTACTTGCAATTTTGAATACTGTTCGAAAACTAAACACACACTGTGAATATAAACACTTGAAAATAATAATAAATGGCGTCACATGTTTAAAATCTGTCACAGGCAATAAACGTGTCACATGTTTAAAATTACAACAGATTGACGTGTTTTCTTTTTGACTGTGTGTTTACTTTTTAAATGTCAGTAGTATTTAAATGTTAAACGCCTTTGATGTATATATTTTAAACACTGTTCCGTTTAAAGATTAAACACCGTCAGTGTGCTGATTTTAAACACCAAATATGTTTTCAAATTAAACATGTTCATTGGATAAACTGCGTCACATGTTTAAAAACTGTCACAGATTAGTGTTTATTTAGGTGTTCTAAACCTAAACACATGGTTTACAGTGAGGCAAATACAAATTTGGAGGACACTTCCACCAAAAACATACTTCAGATCCCGACTACATATATATATAGCCAAGTCAAGTCAGAGTGAAATTCATGCAATCAAATTGATGCTGTTTTCTCTTTGGGTTTTTACTGAAGTGATCCTTGTTTTAAAGTACATGTATTTCAATATAAACAAATTAAAGTTAGTTGCTCTCTAAATCGCCATATCTTTTCCGTTTTGGAAATAATAAAATTAAGTCATTTTGCTTTACACACCTTTGCTGTAGTTCCAAAAGTAACATGCAATATAAAAAAAAAATATGTGCAGTGTACATGCGTGTGTCCAGATCACCCTTCCCCCCCCCCCCCCGAGACATACACACCCCTTCTCCTCCTCGCTTTTCAGATATTCCAAACTGCCCCGTGTTGTAAAGAAAGCCACCTTACATAGTTCAGACTTTCCCAGAGGCCATATGCATGTATGTAATCTGAACAAAATTGAACTTGTTGACTTGTTGGGGGAGGGCGTGGTTCTCTTTTGAGCTTTGGGAGTGGGGGTGGCAGGGGAAGGGGTTAGCTGTGAGACGGCTGTTGGTGTAGATTGTAAAAGGTTCACTTGCAAATTGATATATATTTTACAATTTAATTTAGGCAAATACATGTAGAAATCAAAATCTAAATTTGGCAAGGGAATGGGCGGGGCCTAGCTGGTCGGGAAGGACTGGACATCATTTGAAGAATGGTGCACTTCAATCAGAGGACAATGTATATGGCAATTTTTATATTCATTGCGACTTGCAAACACATGAGTTTTGCCCATGTGACAATGATTTTACCGACAAAACCAAGTTATTGGTGGGTGGTCACACCCCACCCTCAACCCCAAGCAATGCCCCGGAGGTGGGGGAAGGGGAGGCTGTGAAAAAGAAGTCTATGTTATTTCTAAAGTGTTCACTTGCATATTATTTATTAA